GCGGATCAATCAGCATAGACACCTATCATACCTGGATGCGGAGGACCTACCAGTTGAAGAAGTTCAACCAAAGCAGCAGTCCCTGCCACTTATTGATCTTGACCCCACTGATCCACAGCCCCTGCTGTCCAGCACGATGAGCATCTCCTTCTGTCGGCGTACTAGCAACATGGCCAATGAAACCTATGATGGACATGCCGAACGCAGCGGCCATCTTGAGGATCTGGTACTTGACATATTTCTGCTTGGACAGAGTACCGGCGGCGGCGCGTCTTTGCTCTCGGACGATGAGGGAGATTGTCGTTGCCGAAGTCAAAATGGGGGTATAGAGGAGACTGAGAGTGAAAAGCTTGCGCTGGACAGGGAAGACAAGCGTGATGAAGACGGCGAAGATACTAAGGGCTGCGATGGCGATTTGGCAGCCTTGTATGATGCGTAGACGGGGAGAGGCATCGCGTGGGAGGCCGAGGCCGAAAGAGGGCATCTTGATAGAAGGCATACCGAGTCTTTCGTGATTGTAAGAGAGGGATGGTACGGGTGTAAGCGGACAAGGCGGGACTTACAGCGCTCTTTATGGAGGGGCTAGCATCTTCACCGGTTGCGCCTCAGGAACAATAAGGACGATTACCCCTGCAGCCACAAAATGTCGAAACCCCAAATTTGGTATTTTCCCATACTCGACTCGTGTCTCCTTGTTAGATGGGGTGCGCGATTGGCTTGGATGCCTGGAAACGGGGCGCGCGTTGCCGGAAGCGCTTCGCGTAGTTTAGGCGGCCAGCATGGCGTAGGCGCAGACGTCGTGTCAGGCTGTCAGCACACGACCTGGGATCTGGCGAGAGAGGCTAAGAGCGTGTATGTGTTGATGTATTGAATATGTAGCCCAGCGGTCCTTATGGCGGTGGTGAGCGATTGAAGCGGCTCGTTGCTTGAAGATAGTTTACGTGCTGAGTCGTCAGCAGTGCTACCAAATTCCACGAGTGCGACGAAGGCCCCAGCCGTCTTTGTGCTATCGCCACCACTCGAGCTATCGAATCGAACATTGTCATAAGACTTGCTCGCACTTCCCGCTCTTGTAATATCTGGATTTACTTTTGCGATTTGAGAACGCGTTACATTTGCCAGCGCGCCATGCTCGTTGCGACTGAGGCAGTCACCAATAACTCTTGTCGAATCATCCATAGCGTTGTTGGTCTCAAAAACAAGCATTAACAACAATCCGTTGGTCTCCGCTTGGTCTGACATCGAAGTCGGTGAGGATGCTGACCAGATTTCTTCGCCTGCGAAGCGGCTCATCTTTGCCAGGCAAGGCATAAATTGCACTGTCTTCTTTGTCGGATGGTCGAGAGCATATAGATACTCGGCCGATGCTAGAGCTTGGACATCCGAAGTTTCGTACAGTGCTAGATACTCGTTTGGCCCATGTTCAGGTTCGAGTGCGCGATAGCGGCGCGCACTTTGAAAGCCAGGGAGGCATACACGCTCGGGAAGGTGTTCGTTGGTCCACCAATCGTTCAATGCGTTCTCATCGGTTGTGGTAGGGTCGACCGATCCCCATAGAACGAGAACACCCTTAGACCTCCGAGAGGAGACAACAGAAGATGGTGATGATGCCATGTTATGCTGCTTGACAGTGCGGGATCCGCAACGGCTAGACTATTGATGGTACTACCAATAATCGAATTCCGCACAAACCAAAGTCTACCTAGAGATGCGAAATGCACAAAAAGATACGGAAGAGAAGGATGAGAGGGTGCGTGCGCGCAGTGCGCCTCTTAGGCTGGATTGCCATGTGGGGTGGTAGGCTGCCGATTGTTCCTGCATGTCCCCGCATCACCAAGGCTATTTGACCACTTGTTCGCAACAACCCTCTGAACCCAGTACACACACGAGTTCAACAAGTCATCTGCGTCGCGATATTACAGCCTTGGGGAAATAACGAGCGATTAGCAGTCTAGGTTATCGTCCAACAATGTCGACCTGAAACTGGCGTCACTCCGGCCTTGGTCGCCTAGAAAACGTCGCAGTCTCATTTCGCCACGGCGCGGCGCATAGCCGATGATATGCTCCTCGGGTCGCAAAGCCGGTCTTAGAAGGACATTGGATCCAAAAAACATCAGGAATGAAGAAGATTCTCACCTCAATTGATATCTGCATAGGTCTCCTAACTATCCTAAAGGCGTTTACTGCATTCCGATATAGTAGGAATGCAAATGTCGAACGATCATGACCCGAACAAAGGAACATCTTGGTACATCCAGGCCCCGGTCTTCGGACATAGTGTCACGAGTCAATGGCCCGAGAAAAATAGCATCTGGAAACCATGCTGGTGGAAAACCCTCTATCAAGTTCGTCCCACCGGCAGTTTGGATATGACAACGCCACGGATGCTTGCCTCCGAACTAGGCTCCTATTTTAATTGGCTTATAGGCTTCGTTCGAAGGCATAGTCTCATTTCCCACAAGATGGCCCACACGGCTAATGCAGATCAGCACTAGCCTGAAGGTCTTTCGCGGCAGCTAACAAAACAAGCTTCGATTCCAAACTCAGGGGAAGATAAAAAGAAGCAATGCGCCTCCTCGTAAAGGCGTTGGCACTGCCGTCAAGCCTCAGCTCGTATCGTCACTCGTTTTTACGACCACACTCCTTTATACCCAATCAGTCGTTCGTTACATTCGCAAAGTCTATTTACCATACCCTAATATAATCCTTGCTTTCTGAGTAGACCCACCAAACCCACCATGCATCAATCCATTGCTATTCTCTCCATCCTAGCAAGCGCGGCTTGTGCTCAAGACGTCGTCAGCTTCTTTTTCCCTGGTGGTACGTCACTCTAGTTCCAACACCGGCACAGATCAAGTCTAATTCGCGTAGGCTACGATGGCGTTGACCCTGTCGCGACCATTAACACCGTCAATCCCTCCACTACCGAGTTTCACATCGCCTGCCCTACGGATACCGACGACAGCGACGAATGTGGCTGGGGCCCAGGCCTCGATGTCACTATCCTCTCCCAAACGCGCTTCCAAGCCCAGATGTCGACCGACGTCGTATCAATGAGCCTCGGATGCGACTACAACGAAAAGGCAGTTGAAATGACTTGCACGGTGAACCAAGTAGGCGGCAACGATGACACTGGCGGTGAACCTATCACAGCGACGCTCTCCAGTGACGACGTGAAGTTCCTCTCCGCTACTGTTGTTGCTGGAAACAGCCTCTTGACTGATGCTGGAAGTGCTATTTCTAGCATGACTGAGTTCGCGCAAGGCGGTAGCACTATTGCTACTACAACAAGGAGTGCCAGTGCAGGTCTGATGACCCCCAGTGGATCTGTCATGCCGACCAGCACAATGGCTTCGGCTTCGGAGGCTACGTCTGCTGCTAGTGGCTCCTCCTCAGCGTCTGTGTCTGCGCCTGAGAGCACTGGTGCGGCTACCAAATACGGTATTGAGGGCTCTGTACTTCTCGCTCTTGCCGGTGCTGCTGCGCTGAACGTCTGGTGAATGTGTCAGTAGTAGTTGTGAATGATGAGTAATTCTTAATGAAACGGATGGTTGGTGAACATGATGCGGCTTATCCAGTGATTAGATACCCAACCGTGACTCGTTAAGACATGGCTTACTGACCACGTTCCGAAGCTTTTGGAAACAAACGATGCACCGATGGTTCACATGGCGTAACTATAGTAATGTTCACCCAAACCAGAAAAATAGCGTTCTTGTGCTTGTGTATCAGTGTAATGCGTGCGCAAGTGTTCCAATGACGATAAAAACATCGAGATACGTTAGTACACGACTATCGTACATCTTCATCTCGATGCTCGATGCATCCTCGGGTTCCATGTCGAACAAGGTCATCCGTAGTCTGCGCTCATGCCACTGAATTCACAGTGTTTGACGTACTGTGCCTAAGAGAGTAGCAGGTCTTGTTTGAGGAGCTCGAGGAAGAAGCTTCTGACAATACATGAGACATTGCTCTACGTTTGTGGTGCTTCGGTAATCTTCGAAGCAGTGCTGACCGACGATATATCTGCATGGTAATTTGATGGGTATACACTCAGGTATTGCGTCATCTTCATTCCCATCGTCTTCTTTGTGTTCAAAGTATTTGCGTAGACATATCCAACAGTCTGGCTCGATGTCGTTGGCGGGAGAGGCAGGAGTAAACTGCTAAGAGTATCGTGTACTGAACAGAACGCTGGAGAATGACTTTGTTTCAATAACCATCACGGACATTGAGCTTTGCAAAGGTCGAGGGAAAGGGCGGTTGTGTTGAAAGAAAACTCGTAGATTCCTGGTCTTGATTGGGACATCGTAGCCTTTCGAGGCTACATAGACTTGTTCAGATACTAACAATTTGGAGAAGAGGGGCTCCAGGCCAAGCTTACAGGTCGCGAAGTCTTTCACTCCACAGTTGAGTTGCAACAGAATTCTTCCGAAGGTGAGACAACCCGCGGCGGTGTAGTAACTCAAAACGAACCGAAATGCTATTAGAATGTTATGAAATTGCACTAGAATCATTTGAGGTGAATCAAACGTCTGTATAGTTCGAGAAGTCTCTCTAGCCATTATAGAGTTCAGTCGCATTCTCTGGTTGATTCCTTGGCAAACAGTCCAAGTCACCGAGAAATCGGTGGAAGACTCGACTGCGGATCGGAAGTTGTCTTTGATTTGAGTTAAAACAGGCTACAGTCTATAGTTATCCATTTGTGACACAGTAGTGGAAGCAGATACTGCAAGATAGAAGTGCTTCAATATACTTCTTTTGATTGCGTCTACCACCTACGGCCGTCGGTACGTGAGAGCAGGAGGCTATTGGCCATGGCGACGCTCTGGAGGTGAGATCGGAACGGAACAAACATTTTGTGTTGCGTTCCGGGAACCAATCGATTTCATCGCGCCGGTGGCTAAAGGTTCGTCTCTCCTCACCACAAGAATCCTCGCAGACCGGTTGAGTCAGACCATCCCAAGACCCCGGAGGAGTTCGGATCAGAGCTCGTTGACATGTCGCATTCCAAGGCTGCGATACTCCGGCTTCCCGAGGAGCTGCTGGTCCACATCACGGACGACGTCGATATCATCGACCTCCATGTTTTGTCAATCACTTGTCGGCGCATACGCCCAATCGCGCAGGAAGGCCTTGTTCGACGAGCAACTCTACCACTCAAAAATGTTTGGAAACTGGTGGACTTACTGCAAGCTTACTCAACCCTAGTCATATCCTTTACTCACCTTCGACTTGGTCCCATTTCGGAGGATGCAGCGAGAAGCATAGTCTCCAACCACAATGCCGCTCAGAGACCCCACATGATACACAGGGATTACTCCATGTGTGATACTGCTTTCGAAGAATCTAGGTGCACCTCAGCTGGAATGAAAGTTCTGTTGACTCTTGCGCGTGGTCTAAAGTGTGTGTCTATGGGTACAGTCTCTAGCCACAGCTTCGATTTGCTGAATGCTTGTATTCTCACTGGTCCCAATATATCCAGTACCGAAGTGGTCACGCGTTCGTACGAGAAGGCGCGATCAGACCTCCAAGCACGACTCGAGGAGGTCAATGTGGATCCCGACCACCCTGGTGCTTTCCCGGCGACCAGCCTAGTCATGTCCTTGCATCTTTCAGAATGTTCCAAGCTCAAGCGATTGGTAACCCCATACAGGACTTTGTTCAAAAGGCCGGGAGACAGGTTGTTGTCTGAATTCACACCTTGCCGGCTGGTCGAACAGCGTTACTACACCGAGCCTCACCGTATATTGCCGCCATCTCTTGAGTCTGTACACATAGTCTTTGGAACGGTCTCTCCCGATGTGCGATGGCTCGACAGGCTGATACTCAATGAAGTTGGCTTTCCGAAACTGCGCGAAGTTCAGCTGCTATTCAAGCAGAACCTTCTGTCAGCTGCCTGGAGCTTGTGTTGTTACCCTGACTCTAGGCTTCTGGCCACGCTTCGAGGATGGCAGGCATCGCGCGTTGATCTGACCACAAGATTCCGCATCGCGAGGTTCACTGACGTAGCAATAATGGAAACCAAGAGGGATACACCAGCGCCTTACATTGCCGGCGATATAATCCCTGCAGTCGAGAAGTGCCTCGCGACGACACTTGATCAACTAAAGGATGAACCCGAGATGTTAGCAGCACTGGGCTATGTAGCAGGGTTTACCTAATGTCATCTTTCCTTGAACTTGGCAGGGGCTCCAATATGAGGAAAGAAGGAAAATATGACATTCTTGGCAGTAATTTGTCCTGAGAGGCAGCTATAAAAAGTATGAAAAATGGTGTGGACGCAATGATACATGCATTGCAATGGTGCAGTGCTTGAACGTCGCCATGATGTTGTGAAAAAAGCGAGGGTTTGCCTAACCTGTGTACTGTCGAGCACGCGCCCTGACATCATCACCGGCCCGCTTCCCATACGCTCCATTTCTCCTGCATCCCTTTACCGTCTTCTCCAAGTGACCCCCACGATACCAAAGTCTAGACCCTCTGGCCTTCAGTAAACCCCAGCTTCCTGTCCTCGCATACATCATCGTACGAAGCGAATTCGCTTGTCGGCTTCACATATGACGATTGTTCGCGATGCTGCGCAGGGGCTGTGTGGCTGCACGCCCTTCAGCTGCTGCGCACCCGTTCATCACCACCACGATCAGCGACAGGGGTTTAGCAGCACAACCGTTACTCTGAAAGTCTAGATTTCCGCGCGACGAACTCGAAATGACGTCGATTGAGGCTCTGGATATACTCAGGATATGAGAGACAGCTACTATGCTGCTACCAGCTTGCACACTACAGGCTGCAGATCGTTGGAAGGCGCATCTAAAGGTCCAGACTGTCATGGTCGTGTCTACAGTCCCTAGATGTGACGCAGTTGTGGTGTGTTCAAGGTAGATCAGGCTCACTGCGCGCAAGGCATCTGCTCTACGGTGAGCTTGTTGTGCAAGAGAAGGCGAGATGAGCGTGTGGAGAGTTTTTGATCGCGATGAGACAGATCTGGACTCTCCAGACCATGGTCACGTAGTTGAAGAAGGTTGTCTATGTCTATACGACGCGTCGCATCGCATCGCTCAGAAGGTATAAAGGTGATAGCTCTACAGATACACTGATACAGAGAAGGTCGAGACGCTGGCTACAACCATAGTGCATTCAAAACCTCACTCTACCATCGACCGCATATCCCCTTACTTCAACATGCGCGAAGCTAAATATATCCCGCCCTCAGCGACCCGACCCGACACCCAAAACAACCAGAATATACCTTCAAAAGCCAACCTCGATAACGCTACGACAGCTCAAAGCAAACCCAAGCGTCGCACGAAGAAGTATCGCGCGATCGAACGTCCTGACGGTATCATCGTCGAGTATCCTCGGTATCGACCGGCAGGCTCATCGCAGAAGCCAACAATCGGGTTCAAACAAGACTCGATCCCTTCGAACTACAATTGCACGCAACACAAACCCACAAAAGAACCAACGCCGAGCAATGCAAGACACGATCTTGTGGGCATAGGGAGTTCTTTCTGTGAGGTGTCTGCAGATAACATCGGTAGTGACGTGTGTATCGGACCTCTAGGAAGAGGAAGAGCAGGATACAACGAAGAGGCTACATGCGAGAATGCATGTATTCAAATAGTCGCGGACAGAGGCGAGCAGCAGCTCTACCACGGGTCTACGCCGATGGCTCGTTTCCTACTTGAGCAAGGGCCTTGGAGTTCTTTTCCCCTCCACAAAGTTCCACAAGAGCCTTTGGAACTATACAGGCCTTCAGCGTCATTAGTGTCGAAAGGCATTGCTACGGGGGGAGACTCGGCATTTTGGTGCATTTGATCGTACCGAAGTCCTCTAATTCTTATCCATACACGCCTCAAGAAACAATTTTGAGCAAGCGGTGCGCGTTGTGGATCAAGTCTACTGCATGATGGTCTTTCTCTTGCATTATACTCGGGCAATCACAATCGCAATTCAAGCGTCTAACCCACAGCGGCTATATGGGAGCATCGTGGCCGGGAATGTGGGAGAGATGTTCACAGGACGAGCCTAGGAAACTGCAGCGTGGCTGCAAATGATCTGCATCCTGTAAGACGACGCCCGCAGTAGTGCTAGTGCGTACACATATCGCAAATAAAGTGTTGTGGCCAGGTTCCTCATTTGCCGTCGCAATAAACTGCTCAACATTGAGATAGATTGCGATCATGCCTGTTCCAGCATTGAGACAACATGAGACTCCATGCAATAGAATCTATGGCCAGTGTTAATCACAGAATCGGCCTATGAGCTCAGCCCAGTCTGACAGGCTTGAAACACGCCACAAGACGCTCGCAACGACGGTGGTGATGACGGCACAGCTCCACTGGTGTGCAGTGGCGTCCGCATCTGGACTCCTAGCTCTGCAGTAGCCAGCCGTTCTCCGCTCGTTACACGGCTGTCTGTGCTATTTATCCAGGTTCGCCCGCCATTCGCATGGTCGACAGGATTGAACTGCGATAACATCGTCTAATTGCTGGTGATACAACTTAGCAAAATGGCGCTGTTCAACATCCTCGACCAATTCGTGGACACCAAAACGATCCTTCTTTGCTTGGTAGTCGTACTGGTCCTCACTACCACTATCTTGCTGCCCTACTCGCATCGTATACCTGCAGACGCGCCGCCTCAAGTCAGCGACGATCTCCCCGTTGTCGGAGCCCTTGGCTTCTGGACCCAACGGTGGAACTGGTGGAGCGAGCGACGCGACCAGTCCAAAACTGGTACTTTCTCCTTCCATGTGGGGCCGAACATGGTCGTTGCGCTCTCTGGAGACAAGGGACGTCAGGTGTTTTTTGAGTCGAAAGATTTGGGCTTTGGTGAGGGCTGTAAGTTCCCTGTGCGAACTACATGTGAGGCACGTACTGACTTTGTACACCACATTCAGATTCTGTCCTATTCGGCCAAACGCCCAAATCAACCAAAGAAATCACCGACGAAGACAAGAACCTTGGTTTCGATGCCTGGTTCCATCGCCGCCTCACCTCCCTCTTGAAGCAAGAGCATTTCCGCCGCAATCTGCCTGTTCTCATATCTGACACAAAGGAAGCTCTAGAAGCCATCAAGAATGATGCCAGCGGCCGTACAAATCCCTTTGAGAGCCTTTATCGCATCGTATTCCGCCTTACTATTCGCATGGTAGGCCCTACTGAGATCGCCGAGGATCCGGACAAGCTGGAAGCCGCCTTGAAGATGTTCGAGATGATCGATAAGAGCGCGACCGCTACGTCAGTTATCTTTCCAAAACTACCTTCGCCGGCTATCATACAACGGACATATGCGGGCACGCGACTTTATATGATGATCGACAGTATAATTAAGAAGCGCGCGGCGAGTGACGAGAAAAACGAGGATGCTCTACAACAGATGCTAGATCAAGGCGATCGCGCTGTGAGGATCGTCGAGTTCATCGTTGGAGCGCTGTTCGCTGGATTGATCAATAGCGGTATCAATGCAGGCTGGGTGAGTGGATCTAGATGTTCATACTGTAAAAGCCAAAGAAAACTGAACTCTGCTAGGTAATCTGCTATCTTGCAACCTCACCCGAGTGGCTCGCCAAAGCGAAGGACGAGATCTGTAGTACTGCAGCGAAGTACGCTAAGGATCCCAAAGCACCCTTGCGCGATCAGCTTGACGACGTACCCATAGAAGCGTGGGAGGCAGAGTTTCCGATCATAGACATGTGTCTCCGCGATTCTTTACGACTGAACCTTCTCGGTACAGCCTTCAGGCGGAACATCAGTAGTAAAGGCATACCCACAGGCAACGGCAACGAAGTCATCCCCCCCGGCGCTTTCGTCACGTATGCCACTGGCGACATCCATCTCGACCCGGAAGTGTATACTGCTCCTCACAAATGGGATCCAGCTCGATACTCGCCAGAGCGCGCCGAGGACAAGAAGAAGGCGGCGCATGGCTTTGTCGGTTGGGGATCAGGACGACATCCCTGCCTGGGTATGCGCTTCGCTAAACTGGAGCAGAATATCATCACCGCATACTTCATCGCGACGTTCGACTTCACACTTGAAGATGAGAGTGGCAAAACACTCAGTGTCGCCCCTTTGGTTGACCACAATCGACACTCGGCCCACAAACCAGCCAAATTGCAGTTCCTCAGGGTTAAAACGAGAGAAGAGTAGATGGTATGTTCCCAGACGTCCGCATGAATACGAACCTAGCAACAGTGATGCAACCTGTTGCCGTAGCTCGCAGTGAAGGAGGTCGCTTCTCACATTTGAGATGAACTTGTTGGCAAATTGCAGAATATTGAAAGCATCAAGTGAATACCAAATTTGACACTCGAGAACGCGCATGTAGCCATAACCTCTCGTCTCATCAGCGTGCGTATCAAAGGCAATAGCTTTGGAACGAGTCACCTGCTTCAAGAATAGCGTCTTGGCGCGACGTGTCACACCCACCCACCCACCTCAGTCAACGAGCAGCAGCCAAGGACCGTACTGCACCACAACACTTCTTCTGTGCTCTAAATCGCACAATAAAGTTCGATTCTCACGATCTGGCAGAGTTCTTCAGGTAATTGTCTCACCAGACTCACTCCATTACGTCACAGACCATTGATCACATGCAGGTACCGCGATTGCCGCAGTCGTGACTGGCCATATTTCGCACATGCACACACAACCGTGTACCAAATCCAAGAGGAGTCCATCATAACGATTGGCGTCTCAACTCAACCATCCAAATCACATATCGCCCCACTCTTATATCGCCATGGCTCCAACGACACCACCCAGTTCTAGTGCCAGGAAGAGACGCGTAGCGAGCCCTGGAAGTGGAACAAAGACTCCCGCCCTTCCAAGGGAACCTGCAATACCGGACACTACCCCCAAAGGCGCGCAAGATGGTCACCAGCCTGATACGAGTGTGCGATCAGACGAAGTTGACATCCACCTCCTCCAGAATCACGGCCTACTTAGCCTGCCTTGCGAGCTTATTGAGATGATAGCCTCAAACCTCCTTGCCACTACGCATATCCTCAACCTCGGACTCGTCAGCAAACGGATTAGTGGGATCGTTCAGCAAACCATCGTGCGTGGCTTGGTCGTATCTAGCATGAATATTAGAGAATTCTTCGAAATGCTCATTGGTCACGCTGAGCTCAGCAACAAAATATCTAGTGTTAATCTCGGAGATTTTGGATACAGGCACCATGGACAACGTTTCTACGCAGATCCGATCGGTCTCCGCCCGAATTTCCTAGAAAATCTTGGCACCGCCATCACTGCGACTACCGGGCGAGTCGTTGACTGGAGCCTGGTTAGAGAAGACAACATATCTGTCGGTCCTGTATGGGAGTCAGATTCAGCCTTCTTTCTCAACGTTCTCGCAATATCCTGTCCAAGCATCAAATCGGTGACTGTTCAGCTACCCGAAGCTAGGGTATTTCACTCAGAGTTGCTAACAATCAATCCAAACTGATGAGACTGACTGACTGACTGATTGCTTGGCAGTCAGTTCAGTGTCAGTTTAGAGCTCTCGTCTTATCAGTCAGTTCAGTTTAGAGCTCTTAAACTGA